GTCTGTCTGTCCGTCTGTCCGTCTGTCCGTCTGTCCGTCTGTCCGTCTGTCCGTCTGTCTGCCGTCCCGGATTTTGATTAGACAGATAATTTCCGAAAGTACTGAACCGATTGTTGTGAAATTTTGTACTTATATTAGGAATATCATGTAGATGGTAAAACGCTAACTAAAATTTTTCTAATCATCCCCACCACTTATGCGATGACGTCACTTCAAAATTGTACATAGTAAATGGGTTTTAAATTGTATAAAATAATATAGTCCTACATCTGTAGTTTACGACTCCGAATTGAGTTCTTAAGTGAGTGAGTGAGTGAGTGAGTGAGTGAGTGAGTGAGTGAGTGAGTGAGTGAGTGAGTGAGTGAATGAGTGAGTGAGTAATTAAGTAATTAAGTGATTAAGTGATTCAGTGATTAATCACTAATCACGAATCACGAATCACGCATCATTAATCACTAATCACTAATCACGAATCGCGAATCACGAATCACGAATCACGAAATCACGAAATCACGGAATCACGAATCACGAAACACGAATCACCAATCACTAATCGCTAATCGCTAATCACGAATCACTAATCACGAATCACGAATCACGAATCACGAATCACGAATCACGAATCACTAATCACTAATCACCAATCACGAATCACTAATCACGAATCACGAATCACTAATCACGAATCACGAATCACTAATCACTAATCACTAATCACTAATCACGAAATCACGAAATCACGAAATCACGATCAGTGATCAGTGATCAGTGATCAGTGATTTTATTTGTTTTGTGGTTTGCAATCTTGGGGTTTTTCTTTCTGATTTTCCTTTCTGATTTTTGAATTTCTAAGTTTTGCAGTTTTATTTTTCAATGTTCCTTTTTGCAGTTTTATTTTTCAATGTTCCTATTTTTTCCGATTTTTGAAGTATTTTTTAATTTTTCGTGGTTTGGAATTTTGGAATTTTTCAACTTTTAGTTCTTCGATTTTTAATTTTTCAAATTCTCGATTTAAATTTTTAGATTTTTAAATAACAACCACTTATTTACGAAAGTGTTCATTACATAAATCAAACTAAACAAAATAAATTAATTTTTATGTTTAGTATTCCGATTTTTAGTAGTTTTATTTTTAAGTTTTGATATTTAAATCTTACGATTTTTTAGAAATGTGTTGGATTGTTAAATTTTTTACTTTTTCAATCTTGCAGTTTTAAAATTTTTAAGTGTTTCATTTTTTATTATTAATTTTCTCGGTGTCTCAACTTTTCAATTTTTCGATTATTTAATTTTTCAGTTCCTCAAATTTTCGATTTTCCATTCTTCAATTTTTCAATTTTTTAGACATTTTAATGGTTCCTTCAATTTTGCGTTTTTTCCTCTCTCCATTTTTTTTTACAATTTTTCAATTTTTCTATTTTCTATTTCCCAAAGTCTTAAACTTTTCGATGTTTCATTGTTATAATTTTTGGGTTTTAGTTCGTTTTTTTCCGATTTTTGGACAGTTTTTTAATTTTTAGTTATTTTATTTTTTGCTGGTTAGCAATCTTGCGGTTTTTCTTTTCGGAATTTTTAATTTCCAAGTTTTTCAATTTTTCTATTTCTATTTCCAAAATTCTTAAATTTTTGGATGCTTCATTATGCATTTTTTTAATTTTTCAGTGTTCCTATTTTTTCCGATTACTTGTTACCGTTTTTTGTTGTTATTTTTTGCTCGCTTTTTGGCTACTTTTTTTGTGCATTTGTTGTCCGTTTTTGTCTGCTTTTTCTATCGTATTTACTTAAGGATTGTCGTTTGTTTTGTTCCTTTCTTTGGTCGTTTTTGTGTGTTTTTGCCATCGGTTTTTTATAGCCGTTTTTATTGTTTTTACTTCCCGAGCGTAAGCAAAGGAAGTATTGTAATCGAGTCCGTAGGCCGACTCTCTACTTTTACGTTTTCTCGATCTTTCATGACCCCTAGAAGACAAAGAAATAGGTCTCCCATTTCTGTCCGTCTGTCCGTCTGTCTGCCGTCCCGGATTTTTATTAGACAGATAATCTCCGAAAGTACTGGGCCGATTGTTGTTAAATTTTGTATTTATATTAGGTATATCATGTAGATGGTAAAACGCTAACTAAAATTTGTCTAGTCACCCCCACCACGAATGTGATGACGTCACTTCAAAATGGTACATAATCAATGGGTTTTAAATTGTATCAAATAACATAGTTTTACACATGTAGTTTATTACTCTGAATTGAGATTTGACCCGAAACGTCCAGATTTTTCTGGAAAATGTGAGAATTCTCTCGTCTTTATAACAATAAAGAATTATAATAATAACATTCAGAATATTTTGTTCAATGGAGGCTTATGAATAATTTTAGTCATCTGTTTTGGGGCGATAAACTCATTCAAATCAAACAAATGTCTACGTGACATTCTTCCGATGTAATGTATTCCCGTTGATAATGTGCTGTAAATAAATTGTTTGCACTCATAACCTTGTTTGATGACCTTGGCGCATTCAACAGCATGCGGGACGTCGAACACCACGCACAGATGCGTTGCATTGATCGGAACAAAATTAACAATTGCTCCAAAAATAGTCAGTAAAAAATGTCAGGAAGATTGCTGAGAGAAGTTTGTTGTATAATAAAAATAGCACAAGTGAATTTACAGATTTATTTTTAGTACGATGGTACAAGTGAGATTTTTTATTTTTACCAGAATTACATAGGTGAAACACAGTGAACACTCCGATAACCTTGATTGAAATGTTGCTAATCTTTTTTTTTCCATTTGCCATCTTTTCGTCATACGACTCGACAAGTGCTTATCTCTGCGGTCACCTCTTCTACTGATACCAATTTCCGTTCGGATCACTCTTGTGTTGTATGCACATTACTCAACGTGTCGTCGAAAATAAAATTAAAAGACAATATTTGGTCGTTCTAAATTGCATTATTTTCGTCTAAGACCGAATTTTCGCACTTCCAGTAACGTGATAGACGAATGTGGATAACACTGATAACTGCTATTTAAATTAGAAAAACAATAAGTTGTTAGGGGCTTTGGGGAACCGGAACCATATGTACGCTGTACTTATTGCTATCAGGTTTACAACACTTACAAATAATGACAAACAGTCCAATTACGGCAAGCAAACAAACAATTACGGCCGCTGCTATAATACCTATCAACATTACGTTAACACTACTGCTCACACAGCATTCAATTCTGTTTCTACAACTCGCAATCTCCACATTTTTCTTTTCAAAATATTCGAAAACATTAGCATATTTATCACACTTAATCAAACTAACATCGAAGTCCACCGTCTGCAACGCAGGTAAGTTGCTTTTCAAAAGCGCCAAATCCAAATCGCTCAGTTGGTTATGCTTGATGTCAAAATTCTTGAGCTTGCGGTTGTTGTTTAACTTATCTAAATCAAATGCCGTCAAGTTGTTGTTCGACATATTCAAGCTCTTCAGTTCTTTCAAATTGTTGAAAGTCCCCTCTGGAATGTCTGTGATCTGGTTTTCCGCCAGGTTGAGCTCCTGGAGCTTGGTCAAAGCATTGAACGTCGACGGAGGGATTTTCTCCAATTGATTCGCCAGAAGCGACAACTTCGTCAAGTTCTCCAACTTCGCAAACGTGCAATCATAGATTTCCGAAATCTTGTTGAACGAGAGATACAACACGTTGACGCTCTTCAAATTGTCTACATTATCGCAGCTGATAACCTTCTCCGTAAGCGAGTTGTTGTGGAAATTCAAAATCGACACGTTCTTGAAGTTCTGGAAGTTGTTGGGGTCCACCACCGTGAGCTTGTTCGAGCTAATATCAACCACTTGCAACTTATTCGCCGAAGAAAACGTGTTAGCTTCCAAATTTTCCACGTTGTTGTTCGAAATATTCAGCACCTTGAGACCCCCCAGCTTGTTCATCGCGTCCTTGTCGATGTTTTTGATTTGGTTGTTCTCGCAGTGCAGCTCCTCCAGGCTTTTAAAAATGTACTGACTCCCCAGCTCCGTGATTAAGTTGTTCCCGATCTTCAGAATCTTCAAGTTCGGGAGCTGAATGAAGTGCTGCTTGTCGATACTTGACAGCTCGTTGCTGTTCAAGTAGAGCTCTTGCAGATTCTTGAGGAACAGGTGTGAGTCGATCGTCGTGAGGAGGTTGTGCGCCAGATTCAACACCCTCAGCTTGACCAAGTGCCCAAACTCGTCGTTCGAGATCGACGTCAGCTGGTTGTTGTTCAAGTAAATCTCTTCCAGCTCTTGGACCTGACCGAAACAGTCGTTGATTTGGTCCAGCCGGTTGAACGAGACGTTGACCATCTTTAAGGATTTGAAATTCTTCAAATGGTCGGGAAGGATGACGTTGAGGCCGTTGTTGCTCACGTCGAGGTGCGTGAGCGCCCACGCCTTCTCCGAGAAGTTAAAGAAGATGTTATTTCCGGCTAGATTGAGGTATTTGAGTTTGGGGTACCGGAACAAGATGTCGCTGTCGATGTACTCTAGTTCGGCGTCGTTGATCCACAGCTCCCGCAGCTGGGACGTCTGCTGGGAGCACACGGTTCGGAACAAGTTGAACGTGAGGGTGTTTTCGGGGAGGGGTAGGTCGCTGATCACTGTTTTGCACCTGCAGTACCTTGAATAACCCTCTCTTCCTTGGTGGTTCTCTTCGTAAATGCATGCTAGCTCTGTGGTGCAACTGCGAGAAACGATTTTTTTTTCTTCGCAGTCGAATTCGGCGGCGACTAGGTGGAGGAGGGTGGCGGCGAAGATGCAGAGAGGTGCCTGGAAAAAATTCCGAAAAAATAAGAAAGCCGCTGCTGAGAATTTCAGCTATAAATAAATAGAGATCTTACTTTCTTTCAAGAACGATAAACTGGGGGTTTGTGGTTTTTGGGGCGATATGGGAAAAAAATTGTAGTTTTTGACAAGGTTACACGCTTCGTATGAATACAATTTTTTATCAAATGAGTGTGAGAAAATTTTTAAAAAGTACTTACTTGTGTTAGTATCATTGTTTTCACTATTCCGGTTTCAGTAGGTACTACTGTAAGAAGTAACTGATTTGTCAACTAATATTATCAGCGTCTATCCTTGCAGTTTCGCTAGACTGCGCACACTGCTGTGCAATCAGAACTGAACTGGTAATTATAATAACTCCATAAGTTTAACTGAGGTCTGAGGTAAACTGTGCTCTGTCCGGGAATTATCACTTGGTTTATTTGCGATAATAATTATTGGTAGAAATTTTCCAGCTAAGGAAGGAAATTTAACCAACCGAATGAAAAAGCTTTACTGGGAGAAACGCGCACCTTTAGTTATCCCTCCACAAAATATTGTGACACAGACTTTTAAAATAACCCTATTGCGATTTTTTTTGTGTACCCTTGCCAAAAAGTTTCAAGAAAATTGGAATTTCTTGGGAATTTAAAAAATAAACTGCCTTAAAAACGGAACACCCTCAATTTTAATAATTAATGAGATGTTGAGACTAGAGTTCAAATGCTTTGAGAATGATATGTTGAAGCAAAACCTGTAACTTAGGCTTTGGTCAGTGAAGTATCACTTGCGTGTTAAAATATAATTTCGTTTATTTAATTATTTATTTTTTAATTTCTGCTTCATATATATTATAAAAACAACGTATATTAACAAAGAAATGCAAAACGTAAGCCCCGCCCACCCACCCTGTCTCAATTGTGATGATTTTTTTTATTCGTCGAGAGCCAAAAAAGCGGAATTTAATTATTGCAAAATCCTTATTATTTCTCTACAAGATATTACTAGGTATGACATGTTTTTGAGTACCGTGTTATTAAAAAAGTACTATATATATTAAGAAAAAATTAAAGCCAAAAGTTAAGCCCCACCCATACCTGTCCTGATCTAAATAGTAATGGAGTTTACATTAGTTGGCAGACCTAGGGGCGGAGCTTAATTGCAAAATCCATATTTTCTTATAAAACTTATTTTAAGTTTCTGAGAAACACAAATCATCACAATTGAGATGGGGTGGGTGGGCGAGGTTTACATTTTGCATTTTTTTTTTCTAAATTTACATAGTATTCTTTGAACAACACAATACTCAAAAACATGCTTTCAATTCCTTGTAAAGAAATAAGTATTTTGCAGTTAAGATCCGCCCCCTTGCTTCACGGTGAATAAAAAAATCATCACTATTGAGACAGGGTGGGTGGGTGGGCTTACATTTTACCTTTTCGTTTTAATATACGTAGACTTCTTTTCCCAACATGAAAGTAAAACATGTTTAAAATGGAACATTTCTATAAGGAATGCATATTTTCTTGCAAAAATGTACCATATGTTAAGTTTCTTGATTTTGTGAAAAAATGGCTATGTATATTAAGAAAAAGAAGGCAAATATAAGCCCCGCCCACCCGCCCTATCTCAATTCTGATGATTATTTTTATTCGTCATAAGCCGAGGGGCGGAGCTTAATTGCAAATTCCTCATTTCTCTACAAAACATTAACATGCCAAACATGTTTTTAAGTATCGCGTTGTTCAAAGAAAACTGTACATGTTAAAAAGAAGCCAAAGATTAAGCACCACCCACCCGGCCCGATCTTAACTGTGATAATTTTCTCATTTATTGTTAGAGCGAGGGGCGGAGTTTAATAGTAAAATACATATGTCCCTACACAAATTCACCATTTTGAAGATATTTTAAGTTTGTTGCTGTGAAAAGAATACTATGTATATGAAAATAAAGGGACAAAATATAAGCCCCGCCCGTCCACCCTATCGCATTTCTAATGATTTTTTTATTCGTCGTGAGTCGAGGGGCGGAGCTTAATTGCAAATTCCTCATTATTTCTCTGCAAGAAATTACCAGGTATGACATGTTTTTGAGTATCGTGTTATTAAAAAAATACGATGTATAATAAGAAAAAATTAAAACCGAAGATTAAGCCCCACCCATACCTGCCCTGATCTAAATAGTAATGAAGTTTACATTCGTTGGCAGACCTAGGGGCGGAGCTTAATTGCAAAATCCATATTTCCTTATAAAACGTATTTTAAGTTTCTAAGAAAAAAGATCATCACAATTGAGATGGGGTGGGTGGGCGGGGTTTATATTTTGTCTTTTTTTCTTAATTTTCATAGTATTCTTTGAATAACACGATACTCAAAAACATGTTTTCAATTCCTTGTAAAGAAATAAGTATTTTGCAGTTAAGATCCGCCCCCTTGCTTCACTTACATTTTACCTTTTCGTTTTAATATACGTAGAAAATTTCTATAAGGAAATATCAATTTTGCAATTAGGCTCCGCCCCATAAAGATTAAGCCCACCCGGGCCGTTCTTAACTGTGATAATTTTTTCATTTATTGTTAGACCAAGGGACGGAGTTTAATAGTAAAATCCATATGTCCCTACACACATTCACCATTTTGAAGATGTTTTAAGTTTCTTGCTGTGAAAAGAAGACTATGTATATTAAGAAAAAGTGTTAATATGTGTAGACTTCTTTTCACAACATGAAACTCCGCCCCTCAGTTTGACAACGAATGAGACGGATGGGTGGAGCTTCTCTTTAGGTTTTCTTTTTTAATACATTTAGTTTTATTTGTATAACACGATTACTTAAGAACGTATTTCACATGGTAAATAAGTATTTTACAATTAATCTCCGCCCCTCGACTTACGATGAATAAAAAAAATCATCGCAATTGAGATCGGGTGGGTGGGCGGGGCTTATATTTGACCTTTTTTCTTAATATACATAGCCATCTTTTTACAGCAAGAAACTTAGAACATGGTTGAAGTGGTACATTTTTTCAAGGAAACATGGATTTTGCAATTTTGGGGCGTAGTCTAATTGCAAAATCGATATTTCCTTACACAAATTTAAAATTTTAAAAATATTTTAAGTTTCATGTTGTGAAAATAAGTCTACACAAATTAAAACAAAAAGACAAAATATAAGCCCGCCCACCCGCCCTGTCTCCATTGTGATGAATCTTATCTGCAAAATACTTATTTCCTTACAAGAAATTAAAAACTTGTTTGTGAGTATCGTGCTGTTCAAAGAACACTATTTTATATATATTAAGAAAAAATAAAGCCAAAGATTAGGCCTCACCCATACCCGCCCCGATCTCAATTCTCAATTGTGATGAATTTTTCATTCGTTGTCAGATCGAGGTGCGGAGATTAATCCATATTTGTCTCCAACAATTTGCCATTTTAACCATGTTCTAATTTTCTTGTTGTGGAAAGATGGCTAGATGTATATTAAGAAAAAAATGCAAAACATGAGTAGCGCCCACCCACCCTGTCGCATTTCTAATGATTTTTTTTTTATTCATCGTGAGTCAAGGGGCGGAGCTTAATTCTCATTATTTCTCTACACGAAATTACCAGGGATGACATGTTTTTGAATATCGTGGTATTAAAAAAATACTATGGATATTAAGAAAAAATTAAATCCAAAGATTAAGCTCCACCCATACCTGCCCTGATCTAAATAGTAATGAAGTTTACATTCGTTGGCAGACCTAGGGGCGGAGCTTAATTGCAAAATCCATATTTCTTTATTAAACGTATTTTAAGTTTCTAAAAAGAAACATCATCACAAACGAGATGGGGTGGGTGGGCGGGGCTTATATTTTATCTTTTTTCTTAATTTACATAGTATTGTTTGAAGAACACGATACTCAAAAATATGTTTTCAATTCCTCGTAAAGAAATAAGTATTTTGCAGTTAAGATGCGCCCCCTTGCTTCACGGCCAATAAAAAATTCGTCACAATTGAGACAGGGCGGGTGGGCGGGCTTACATTTTGTCTTTTTGTTTTAATATGTGTAGACTTCTTTTCACAACATGAAACTTAAAACAGAAAATGTATATAAGGAAATACCGATTTTGCAATTAGGCTCCGCCCCATAATTGCAAAATCCATATTTCCTTGCAGAAATGTACCATTTTAACCTTTTGTTAAGTTTCTTGATGTTATGAAAAGATGGCTATGTATATTAAGAAAAAAATAGAAAAAATATAAGCCCCGCCCACCCGCCCTGTCTCAATTCTGATGATTGTTTTTATTCGTCATAAGCTAAGGGGCGGAGCTTGATTATAAAATCCTTATTTTTCTATGAGAAATTACCATGTGAAATATGTTTTTACGTAATCTTGTTATACAAAGAAAACTAAATGCATTAATTAAAAAAAAAACCAAGAAAATTATGAAAAATTATGAAAATTTCAACCTCCGTGACACCTAAAAATGAAGACAACATATCATTCTCTTAGTATTTCAACTCTAGTTGATTTCTTTGATTGAGAACATATCTGATTTTTTTTTATTTTTTTTTAATCAAGTTAACATACAGGGTGAGTCACAAGCGTGTTGTCTTCGACTTTCATTAATTATTAGAGATAGAAACAAAGTCAGTGTTCAGTTTTTAAGCACTTTATAAGTTATGTAATATATTACGAGTATCAAAACATTATTATCTTTTTAAAATGAAAGGAGTGTCGATTACAAAATTTTAATATCTCAACTAAGTCCGATAAATGCAAGGTCGGATCAAACCCTCCTCAAAATCCTCGACACTTTAGATTCCAATCAAGAATCAACACCGTAGTCAATGTCACTGCCAAAAAATCAGATAAACACACCACATAAACACAAAAACTTTATTTATTGTACAAAAATTACAACTGACTATCAACAATACAAGCGTAAGACGTAACAAAATGTCCTGGAACTACAAAACTATCTTTACGAAACTTTTTGTATTTTCCTCGACATGGTGTCCATCGGACAAACTGAAAAAACAATGGGTTACCCATATGGATGACGTAACAAGAGAAAGTGCTTACCTATAAGGTAGTGACTTATGGGCAGGTACATGTGTGGATGAATCTCATCATCTACCACCATGGGTGGTGGTCATGATGGTAATGGGGCTCTTCATGAATGTAGACCTTTTTGACGACGGGCACGGGCACATGCACTTTCTTCACGTGGTGGTGATGGACGGTGTGGATGTGGTGGGGCACGTGAATGACGACATGCTCACTAAAAAAAAATAATTCGAATTTTAGTAGTTTTAAAATTAAGCAAATAGTCAAGGAGTAACAGGTAAATATTTGTGGTTGTTAACGCAGATGTTAATCCTTCATTATTTGCTTGGTGGCTGATGATTCAATAAACAAATAACAACTAATGTGATACGTGTTATTATTATACTTTCACGCTAAAAAAAATTTGACACTAGATTTCGGGGAAAAACGATTTCATTGTAATAAGTAGTATGCATTTATTCAAGGAGAAAGTTAATACTGTTACGATCCAGATGACTAATTTGTGACAACATATCGCGAGATTAAAGTAGAAATTTTTTATCTACCAACCCACCATTTTTTTGCACCTGAACGAGTTTTGCTGTTTTCCTGTTTTACCTTAGGTGTTTCCCTCGATTTATTTAGAATTTAATGTTCATTGATTATGGCAAGTTCGTTTTGGAAACTATAAGTATTTACCAAAAATAAAATTTTTAACTATTGTAATTTTCGCTCGTTTGACAGGCCACACACACAATATTTTTTCTACGACAAAGCAAAATCGACTCACTGGTGTCCGTGCCATCCTCCGGGGGCGGGGGCCGCGTACGCCGCTGCCAGGAGCACGGCCACGAGGACGACCTGCAACGAAAGTGTTATAAATCGGAGAAATTTCGCGACGATTCACTTACGATATATTTCATGAAGGCCATTTCGAAGCTGGTTTGTTTCACTAAGTCACTAGACCACAGTGACCACTGCCATGGGCCGTCGGTATTTATAGAGGTGCGGGCCCCTTCTACCGGCCCTCCTGTTATCGAACACCTATTACATAAAAAGGAAATAACGCACAAGAAACACATCCCTCCAGTTTGGAATTGTAATGAATGCAAGCGGCGGGTGAGAGTCCATCCATGTGTGGCAATATTGTTTATATGGATCGCGGCGGCTGAGCGTGCCGCCAGGAGAATACCAAAAGAGGTTGTTAGAAGATAAAAAATTAGAAGTGTTGGGGAAGTGCTAAAAGTGGTTTAGTTGGGTTTCGGGAATCGGAGGATTTTAAATGTGAGCGGATTTTTAATAGGTTGTGGTAGTAGCAACCCTTGTCATTTTAAGTTTTTGGCGAATTTGATTTGATATATTTTGGTTAGCGTGTTACCTTTTCCGCAATTTTCAAGGAAACATGAAATAGTTAACTACCTAATAAATGACAAACATGCAAACGACAGACAGTCGGAAACGAGAGATTTACATTTCACAAGCTATATGTAACACCGAGGAAAGACGAAATTAGATATCCGTCAAATGATCTTATTCCACTACTTCCCTTTACCATCACTTGCGAAATAAACGGAAACAATACCCGGTTCATTATTATTAGTTGGTATTTCAAAAAAATTGGACAACCCAGTGCTAATTATTATCTGTGATTTCTCCATTCCCAGTCGATTGAACCCAATTCAATCATTTTTTTGGAAAAATTTTGAAAATCGTAAGCCCACTTGTCACGTTTATTTAAATAGATGTTGTAACGGCGACTACGGATTTATAATTTGCGGAATAATTCTGAATCAATTGATCACATTCTAACCATTTTTTTTGGAAAATGTCATTTATGAGTGTTAATGTTAGACATCCAGTTCTTCGAAAAAAATTCGAAATTAATTAATTAGTCCCTCCTTTGTGTCATCTGAACGTGGCAATAGTCGATAAACATAAACAGTCGAAGTTAAGCATGTACTGAGAAAATTTTTGTTAGCAAGTTTGACAACTTTTGTTAATACCTATATGGAACTACATACTTGCATTTGAAAATTAAATTTCTTCAACACGAAAATAATAATCAACACAAATTTTTAATTTATGATATATCAATAAATTAAAAAAAATCTACAAAAGGATTAAAAAAAAAATGTAGAGAGAATCCCTACCATTGAAATATGATTTTTAAGAAATGTTGAATTTCGAAATAAATATTTCTGAGATGTTGCCCCGGGACCATAAACGCGCTATATTTTTGGAAACAGTACTTAGAAATCTATGTCCTAGGTTTATTTGGCGGATTTTTAAGCAAATTTTTCAGTTTTGAAAATTTCGGAATTTTTAGAACACCTTTGAAACTTAAATAAAGATCTTTTCTGATGGATTTAGACTTCCAGAAGTTCCTTTCGGCCTTACTTCTTCTCTAAATTCTGCCATTTTCCAGAGATGCCTATTAAAAGAAGGCAAAACTTAATTTCAAATCTAATAATTCTAAGCGTATATTTTAGGACGGAGTTGATGCGCCACCGGCCAAAGCCTAAGTGACAGATTGTGTAAATTTATATAGGAAAATATCGACTTTGCAATTACGCTCCGCCCATCGGTCTGACAACGAATGAAAAATTCATCGAGACGGATGGGTGGGGCTTCTCTTTTGGTTTGATTTATTTAGTTTTCTTTACACGATTACTTACGAACAGATTTCACATGGTAATTTTTTGTAGAAAAATAAAGATTTTACAATTAAGCTCCGCCCCTCGGCTCACGACGAATAAAAAAAAACATCAGAATTGAGATAGGGTGGGTGGGCGGGGCTTATATTTTGCCTTTTTCTTCTTAATATACATAGCCATTTTTTCATAACAAGAAATTTAAAACATGGTTAAAATGGTTTTTGCAAGGAAACATGGATTTTGCAATTATGGGGCGGAGCCTATTGCAAAATCGATATTTCCTTACACAAATTTTCCATTTTAAATATGTTTCATGTTGTGAAAAGAAGTCTACACATATTAAAACAAAATGACAAAATGTAAGCCCACCCACCCACCCTATCTCAATTGTAACGATTATTTTTATTGGTCGTGAAGCAATGAGGCGGAGCTTAACTGCAAAATTGTTATTTCTTTACAATAAATTAAAAATGGGTATCATTTTGTTCAAAGAATACTATGTATACATATTAAAAAAAAAAACGCTAAATATAACCATCAGAATTGAGATAGGGCGGGTGGGCGTGGCTTATATTTTTTCTTTTTTTTTATTAATATACATAGCTCTCTTTTCACAACATCAAGTGACTTAACACATGTTAAAATGATACATTGTTCCAAGGAAATATGGATTTTGCAATTATGGGGCGGAGCCTAATTGCAAAATCGGTATTTCCTTATATAAATTTTCCATTTTAAACATGTTCTAAGTTTCATGTTGTGAAAAGATGTCTACACATATTAAAACAAAATGACAAAATGTAAGCCCACCCACCCACCCTATCTCAATTGTGACGATTATTTTTATTGGTCGTGAAGCAATGAGGCGGAGCTTAACTGCAAAGTACTTATTTCCTTACAATAAATTAAAAATGGGCATCATTTTGTTCAAAGAATACTATGTATATTAAGAAAAAAAAAAACGCAAATATAACCACCAGAATTGAGATAGAGCGGGTGGGCAGGGCTTATATTTTTTCTTTTTTTTATTAATATACATAGCCCTCTTTTCACAACATCAAGAAACTTAACACATGTTAAAATGGTACATTTTTGCAAGGAAATGTGGATTTTGCAATTATGGGGCGGAGCCTAATTGCAAAATCGGTATTTCCTTATATAAATTTTCCATTTTAAACATGTTCTAAGTTTCATGTTGTGAAAACAAATCTACACATATTAAAACAAAAAGACAAAATATAAGCCCGCCCACCCGCCCTATTTCAATTGTGATGATTTTTTTTTATTGGCTATGAAGCAAGGGGGCTGAGCTTAACTGCAAAGTACTTATTTCCTTACAATAAATTAAAAATGGGCATCATTTTGTTCAAAGAATACTATGTATATGAAGAAAAAAAAAACGCAAATATAACCACCAGAATTGAGATAGAGCGGGTGGGCAGGGCTTATATTTTTTCTTTTTTTTATTAATATACATAGCCCTCTTTTCACAACATCAAGAAACTTAACACATGTTAAAATGGTACATTTTGCAAGGAAATGTGGATTTTGCAATTATGGGGCAGAGCCTAATTGCAAAATCGGTATTTCCTTATATCAATTTTCCATTTTAAACATGTTTTAAGTTTCATGTTGTGAAAAGAAGTCTACACATATTAAAACAGAAAGGAAAAATGTAAGCCCGCCCACCCGCCCTATCTCAATTGTGACGATTTTGTTATTCGCCGTGCAGCTAGGGGGCGGATCTTAACTGCAAAATACTTATTTCTTTATAAGGAATTGAAAACATGTTTTTGAGTATCGTGTTGTTCAAAAAATACTTATAAATTAAGAAAAAAAGGCAAAATATAAACAACGCCCACCCACCCCGTCTTAATTGTGATGATTTTTTTATTGTTAGAAAGAACACGTTTAAAATGGTAATATTTTGTAAGGAAATATGGATTTTGCAATTAGGCTCCGCCCCTAGGTCTGCCAACGAATGAAAACTTCATTACTATTTAGATCAAGACAGGTATGGGTAGGGCTTTATTTTTTTCTTAATATACATAGAATTCTTTGAACAAAACGATACTCAAAGACATGTTTTTAATTTATCCTACAAAACTAAGGATTTTGCAGTTAAGCTCCGCCCTCTTGGCTCATGACGAATAAAAAAAGATCATCACAATTGAGACAGGGTGGGTGGGCGGGGTTTATATTTTACCCTTTTTTCTTAATATACATAGTATTGTTTGAACAATACGATACCCATTTTTAATTTTTTGTAACGAAATAAGTGTTTTTCTCACTTTTTCGTTTTCATTCAAAAATCCCCTGGTGTTTTATTTCCGGATAAAAAAAAGGAATCTGTTGTTTTGTTGCTGCGTGAACTTGAAAAAAATCTTTTGACCTTTTCGTGTTTTATTTTTTATGAATTTGAAAAAGTTTTGAGCTAGTACTTGCTAGGATAAGACTGATGTAGGTAAGTGAGATCACTCCAAAAAAATAGAGGGCGAGTGGGCGGGGCTAGTGCCTGCTAAGTTAAGAGTGATTTTGGCAAATGAGATACCCTGTAAGAAAAGAAAGGGTAAGTGGACGGGGCTAGTGTCTGCTAAGATAAGAGTGATTTTGGCAAATGATATACCTTCTAAAAAAAGAGAGGGTGGGTGGGCGGGGCTAGTGTCTTCTAAGATAAGAGTGATTTTGGCAAATGAGATACCCTCTATGAAAAGAGAGGGTGGGTGGGCGGGGCTAGTGTCTGCTAAGATAAGAGTGATTTTGGCAAATGATATACCTTCTAAAAAAAGAGAGGGTGGGTGGGCGGGGCTAGTGTCTTCTAAGATAAGAGTGATTTTGGCAAATGAGATACCCTCTAAGAAAAGAGAAGGTGGGTGGGCGGGGCTAGTGTCTGCTAAGATAAAGCTGATTTTGGTAAATGAACGTATCACATCAGACAAAATCAGTCTTATCTTAGAAGGTACTAGGCCCGCCCACCCACCCTCTCTTTTCTTGGAAGATATATTATTTGCCAAAATCATTTTTATCTTACAAAGAACTAGGCCCGCCCACCCACCTTCTCTTTTCTTGGAAGGTATATCATTTGCCAAAACCAGTCTTATCCTAGCAAGTACTAGCCCCGCCCACCCACCCTCTCTTTTCTTAGAAGGTGTATCATTTACCAAAATCCGTTTTAACTTAGCAAAGGCTAGTATCTGCTAAGATAAGAGTGATTTTGGCAAATGAGATACCCTCTAAGAAAAGAGAGGGTGGGTGGGCGGGGCTAGTGTCTGCTAAGATAAGAGTGATTTTGGCAAATGATATACTTTCTAAAAAAAGAGAGGGTGGGTGGGCGGGGCTAGTGTCTGCTAAGATAAAGCTGATTTTGGTAAATGAACGTATCTCATCAGACAAAATCAGTCTTATCTTAGTAGGTACTAGAACCGGCCACCCACCCTCTCTTT